CCTTGGCCTCCCAAAGTGCTGGGATTACAGGTGTGAGCCACCGCACCCAGCCTACTGTTTTATTTTCTACATATAACTTGTTGCTATTTGATTTTATCTGCTTATAATTTAGTGTCTGTCTTCCCACTCTGTTAGAAAAAATAGGTCTAAGAGGGAACAAAAATTGTACTGTGTCCCTGGAAAGATTTTAAAGTATAACATTTAGTATGAGCTAACAGATTCCATCTACGGAAATTTGGGCCAAAAAAAAAAGAAAAAAAGAAATCTGGGCAAAACAGATTGTAACAAAGTAAAATGTGAGCCCTACAAGTTTAGAATAATACCTGCCCCCAAATAAATGTTTACTAACTGCTTAATAAGATTTAATAAGTGAATAACACTTTGTATACTCTACTCAGGTTATAAATGTTGGTCTGGAAGCCACTGTCTTTCAAATTAGTAAGACACAAAGCCTGGGTTTCAAAAGGCAATGGGCCAAGAATGGAAGAAATACTTTGAGAGAAGTGTTTTCTTTCATTGAGAGAAGGGGAAAATTATTCCTTTTTAGAAACAACTACAGAAGTACACTGTTTCTTTTCTCTCCCTTTTGCCCATCTCTCTTTCAATCTTTGTTTCCATACATGGAAAGAGGCAAGACAAGCAATAACAGGGGACCGTTTTTATAAATCAATATTGCTGTTTCTATAAATCAAGTGAACTGCTAACAAGAATTCTCAGAGCTAGGGAAGTATTGCAGTTTGGGACCTGACCTCTAAACAAGTACCAACAGGTGGCTAATTATGTCTTCCTTGCTAGAAAGAGATGGCCAGAAGCAAGAGCCTTTTATTGTCAAGTTGGTCTGAACCTTAAAGAGAATTGTAGTGTACCCCTGGAAAGGTTTTACAGCGTAACTATTCAGAATGAGCTAATAGATTCTATCTACAGAAATCTAGACAAAACAGAATGCAACAAATTATAGCAGGAACCATACAAACTGTAACAAGAAATTTACATTTAACTCATATCTGAATAATTATTTGATTAATTAACTTAGTTTGTATTCATGCCCAACTCCCTTCCCCTCTCCCCTATAACCTTAAAAAAAGCACTGTATATTTGGGGAAAAAGCCTGAGGTGAAAAATAAGTCCATATAATTTAGATACCCGTATTTAGAAGAAGCATAGCCATTTGGGCCATGAAGTTATAATTCTCTGTTGATAACTTGGCCTAATTATAGCAGTGCCTAATAGGAAACAAGCAGCCTCTTGGTAACTGACCTAACAACCTTAAACCCAGAGGTGGGAATACAGTCACATTCATTTTCTCTCTCATATTTTCTTTTTTCTTTTTCTTTTGAGACATAGTCTTGCTCTGTTGCCCAGGCTGGAGTGCAGTGGCATGATCTCAGCTTACTGCAACTGCCTCCTGGGTTCAAGTGATTCTCTTGCCTGAGCCACTCTAGTAGCTGGGATTACAGGCATCTGCTACCATGCTCAGCTAATGTTTTTGTATTTTTAATGATGGGGTTTCACCATGTTGGCCAGGCTGGTCTCCAAGTCCTGACATCAAGTGATCCACTGACCTTGGCCTCCCAAAGTACTGGGATTACAGGTGTGAGCTACCGTGTCTGGCTTCTCTTATATTTTCTTAAAAAAAAAAAAAAAAGGTGTGGGGGAATTCTTGGCCCTTTAAAACATAGTGATACACTGATATCATTCATGAATAATCAAGTTTTCAGTGATTTTTAAATGTTAAAATGCTACATTATTTTTATTTTCCCCTTTAAAAGGCTTATTTTTTTGAGATGGAGTCTGCTTTTGTCGTCCAGGCTCAAGTGCAACAGCCCGATCTAGGCTCACTGCAACCTCTGCCTCCTGTGTTCAAGCGATTCTCTGGCCTCAGCCTCCCGAGTAGCTGGGATTACAGGCGGCCACCACCATGCCTGGCTAATTTTTGTATTTTTAGTAGAGACGGAATTTCTCCATGTTGGTCCGGTTGGTCTCAAACTCCTGACCTCATGATCTGCCTGCCTCAGCCTCCCTAAGTGCTGGGATTATAGGCGTGACCCACCATGCCC